TTTAATGACAAGCCCTGTTATTTCTTGCCATATGTATTACATTCAAGGGTATTTACAATACTGAAGCGGCTGACACGTGTTTGTTGTCAAAGTGTAATTTGGGAGGGTTTTTTAAAACATTTTAAATGGTTGAAAAATAATCTAAAGAATATGAAAGTTCGTATGATTATAAGAAATTCAAATGTTAATGTCCATAAAATTTTGTCATACAGCCATGTTCACTGATTTATGTACTGTCTGTGGTCGCTTTTGTGCCACCATGGCAGTTTAGTAGTGTCAGCAGAGGCCGTATGGCCTGCAAAGCCTTAATTAACTACTTCCCGGACTTTGAAGGTAAAGGTTGCCACTTCTTGCCTGCAGGCTGCTGGGAAGTGGCTCACCTCCCAGGAGGGCTCTCTCCTCCTGTTTGCCTGTCACTGTCACACACTGTTGGTCACTCCTGGGTGTCTGATGGGACGCATATTTCCACACATATGCACACTGTTTATGAGGCTTGGGGATACTCTTTTCAATATTTATAAAATATTTTTGACCTAAAAGGCCTGTACTACTACTACACAGTGCCAGGAGCTAGACAAGGGTAAGTTTTGCTGCAATCAGGGACAAGTGTTTTGTTAAAGGCCCATGTTTTCCCTGCTACCCCATAAATTAACATATTTTTTTCTTTTTTTAAATATTTTTATTGATTTCAGAGAGGAATGGAGAGGGAGAGAGAGATAGAAACATCAATGATGAGAGAGAACCATCGATAGGCTGCCTCCTGCATGCCTCCCACTGGGGATTGAGCCCACAACCCAGACATGTGCCCTTGACCGGAATCGAACCTGAGACCTTTCAGTCCTCAGGGCGACGCTTTATCCACTGAGCCAAACCGGTTAGGGCCATATTTTTTTTCTTACAAACTGCAATTCCTGTATATGGGAGTTTAGTATGAGACCAGGTATTGGAACCAAAACAAAACAAAAAACAATTATTTTATTCCTTACACCAAAAGAATTTCCATTTTGATCACAATTTTATGTTTGGGGTGATAAAGATTTTTAAAAGAAAAACCAAAAGTCAAATACCATCAGGGAAAAAGATGGTAATCTTGACAACATAAAACTGAAAACGCCAACAAAGAAAACCACTCTAAACTTTCTGTTGAAAGACAAAAGAAAAAAAATATTGGCAAAGTATATGACAAAATAATACCCCTTGTCTTTACAAGTAAACTAGCAAAAGACACATATATTAGAAAAATGGCCAAGGACACCAGGGTTCATTCATTTATTTTTTATCCTCACCTGTGGATATTTTTTTTATTGATTTTTTAGAGAGAGAAAAATCAATGCGAGAGAAAAACATCGAGATGCTCTGACCAGGGATCAAACATGCAATTTTGTGTGTGTGTGTGTGTGTGTGTGTACTGGATGATGCTCTAAAGCCAAGTTTGATTAATTTCGTAACTCAACAAAATCATCATGGACTCAAGCTCAAAATAGGCTGCCAATGGCATTCTAGACAGACCCTGAGGTGGAAACAAATATGGAATGCCTAAGGAGCTTTGGTGACTTGGGGAGTGGAAAGCCAACACCCCTGAGGGGGGTGCAGGAAAGTGGGCACACTACATTAGTGCTGGTGGGAGTGTGAGTTGCCCCACCACTTTGGAGAGCAACTGGGCAAAATCTGCTGGACATTTCCCAGGCGTAAAAGACACGGCTGTAACGTTTCCATCAACAGAATAGCTTTCTTAAAAACCTAGGAATCTGCATATTAAGTGTTATAATACGGCAGTTTTACAAAACATCTATCTGAACTGTCATAGAGAACCTTCTAAGGCAGTGGTTCTCAACCTTCTGGCCCTTTAAACACAGTTCCTCATGTTGTGACCCAACCATAAAATTATTTTTGTTGCTACTTCATAACTGTAATGTTGCTACTGTTATGAATCGTAATGTAAATATCTGATATGCAGGATGGTCTTAGGCGACCCTGGTGAAAGGGTCGTTCGACCGCCAAAGGGGTTGCGACCCACAGGTTGAGAACCGCTGTTCTAAGGCATCATAAGGGCCAAAAGGAAGTGACAAAACAATACATACAGGTCAATACTATTTAAAGAAATCTCACATGCCAAAGGCAAAAATGCTGTTTTCTAGAAGTATATGGATATGAATGTAAATGCAAAGGAAGAAGACTAGAAAGATGTTACCAAACTGGTATTAGTAATGGAATTTCACCTCATATTATTTATGTGAATGAACTCATTTAATTTGTGTAAGTTAAAAGTTTTTAGAGATAATACAGGGCTCAAACCCAACCCCTGGGGTAGTGAAGCCTGGAGCCTAAGAATTAGGAGTCGCAAGCACAGGGCATTTGCCTGGCAGGCTTGGTGGTGAGGGCAAAGGAGAAATGGGGCAGAGCACAGGTAAGGGTAAGCCCGTGTGTTTGGAATTTTTGAAACACCTTTGAAATACTTTAGGATCAGAGAAGATGTCATAATGGTAATTAGGGAATATTGAGACCTGAAAAACACAGAATACTGTACTCCATATCAGGCCTGTGTGATGCAGTAAAATGACACTTTGATGGATGTTGATAGCTTTAAAGTGCTCACACCGAAGGAGAACTTGGAGAGGGATTAGTGACCTATACATAGGAAAATGAGCAAATAAGACAACTTCAGGGACAGTCAAAAGCTGTACAAGAAAGAAAAATACTAGAATGCCACGAGTCAGCTTGGCTAGCATCTCATGATAATCCAAACACCGGACGTGGATCCTCTAGATTTGCAAAGCCCATGAGCTTAGAGGATTTTTTCCTCTTTTATTCGTTGCTTTACCTCCAGCCTCTAGGAGAGAGCCTGGAATATCGAAGGCACTCAGTAACTATTGTCCAGTGAATAAATCTAACCAAAAGCATGATGTAACTACATCAGAAGGATGCAAGGACAGAACCTGTGAACATATACATAGTGGCACAGAGGTAAAGAAGTTCAATCCTTAAATTTTATAGCTGGTAAATAATAGGTAATAAGTACCTAAAACTGAAGATTTATGAAATAGCAACAGAAGCATGTGATTTGGAAATAGATGATAAATACTAAGAGCAAAATAAAACAAAAAATAGCAAAAAGATTTGGAATTGGCCCTAACCGGTTTGGCTCAGTGGATAGAGCATCGGCCTGCGGACTGAAAGGTCCCAGGTTCCATTCCGGTCAAGGGCATGTACCTTGGTTGCGGGCACATCCCCAGTAGGGGGTGTGCAGGAGGCAGCTGATCGATGTTTCTCTCCCATCAATGTTTCTAACTCTATCCCTCTCCCTTCCTCTCTGTAAAAAAATCAATAAAATATATTTTTAAAGAAAGATTTGGAATTGGCTATCTCAGGGAAAAGAGAAATGAGCAGGCTGCTTAAAAAAAAAAAAGCCTTAGAACATCATTCAGTTGTTCCCCTATGGGCATGTATAGCAGATTGCATGGTGGCCCCCAAGAAGCTGTGTCTATACCCTAATGAACCTATGAACTGCAGTTTTTTTGAAAAGTGTCTTTGCAGATGTAATTAAGGACCTTGAGATCATTCTGGGTGGGCTACAGATCAAATGAGTAGTGTTCTTATGACACAGAAGAGAGAGAAAAGAAGGCCATGTGAAGACGGAAGCAGAGGTTGGAGTTATGGAACCACAGCCAAGAAATGCCTGGAGCCCCTAGCTGGTTTGGCTCAGTGGATAGAGCATTGGTCTTCAGACGGGACCGAAGGGTCCCAGGTTTGATTCAGATCTCACGTTAGCTACCTCAGTTGTAGGCTCCTCCCCCACCAGGGCCTTCGGGGCACATGCAGGAGGCAACCAATCTCACATCGGTATTTTTCTCTATCTATCCCTCTCTCTGAAAATCAAAAATCAATGGAAAAAAACATTTCCTCGGGTGAGAATTTAAAAAAAATGCCTAGAGCCACCTGAAGCTGGAAGAGGCAAGGATTTTCCCCTCGAGCCCTCAAAGGGAGGGTGGGACTATGGGTGCCTTGACTTGGGGCCTCCAGAGCTGCCCAGGTAAATTCCTGTTGTTTTAGATCGCCAAGTTGGTGGCATTTTGTTACTCTAGCTCTGGGAATTCTGGGAATCGAATACAGCACGAAAAACAGGTAAAATAAAGATTAGAACATTTATTGATGTATTTCACCACATTGATTGAAAGAGCAAATAATTAATACAGAAAAAACATTTGATGAAAGTCAACACCTGATACAAAAAAACCAAACCCTTTGCAAAGTAGAAAGAGAATAGTCCTACCTTAACCTGATAAAGGTTTTTAAGCTATACTTAGTCAAAGCAAAAACGAATTCTTGCTCCACTTCTGTGAAA